TGACGTGAGCAACACCACCTGTCTACCCTTGACAGAGAATCATTTGGTTCGCTCTCGTTCTTATTCTTCTCACCTTTTTGCCAAAAACCTTAATCAGTTGCAATTTAACTGGTATCAGACAACTTGGAATATTTCTGGTCCTCGCTTTATTGCGATGTTTGATGGTAATTTTCACCCCCTGTTTGCTTTACCTTTAGTAATGACGTGAGCAACACCACCTGTCTACCCTTGACAGAGAATCATTTGGTTCGCTCTCGTTCTTATTCTTCTCACCTTTTTGCCAAAAACCTTAATCAGTTGCAATTTAACTGGTATCAGACAACTTGGAATATTTCTGGTCCTCGCTTTATTGCGATGTTTGATGGTAATTTTCACCCCCTGCCATACCCAGGTTCTTGTCCTTTGGGAGTGGAATGTGGTTATGAAAACCGAGGCCAAAACACACTCTTGCCATGGTAACAATGTTATCCCCAACTTGCCTGTTCCTACAATTTCACAAAGAATTTTGGAATTTACGGCTTTCCCGAGCCACAGAATAGAAGGGTGAAAATGTTTTTGGTATGAGCCACCTTTGTGGCCCATATGCTTGTACCTCATTTAGACCTTTTTATTTTCTCTTTCCCTCCAATATGACCTGGTATAATTGTTCTACCAGGTATTCTATTGATCTTTCTGGCTCAAAAGGATCTGGGTCCAGTAACGATAATTGTCCTGTAAAATTTAGCCCCGTTGTCCCTGAATATCTGAAATCCGTTGCTTTTTCAGCTTCTGGAGTATGTGCTAGATCACCTTTCATATTGTTGTTATGGACTAGTAACTCACGGTTACCCAATTGCTCTCAGGAATACTGTTTTCTTGGTCAGTGTTGGTTTCCTGCTAAGGATAACCTGACATCTATGGCCGTCTTACAAATTCCCATTCAAGTGTGGATTCCTTTGAACACTTCTAACCACTTCTCCGCTGTTGTTTGGGCACAGATTTCTTCCCCTTCTTGCAGGAAAAGAGTGGCAGGTCCCGTGGTGGCGGGCATCATCGCTGGCATCATAGCCTTGGTGTCTGCCATCACCTCTGCAGTGGTGTTAACAGGAACTTTACAGAACGCAGCCACCATCAATGATCTTCAAGACACTACAACCACGGCTTTACGAACCCAACAGTGCATCAATCCTCACATTGGAACTGGTTTGGCTATACTTCAGCAACAAATGGACTTATTAAACGAAGAAGTTGAAGGATTGTGGTTGCATACTCGATTGGACTGTGATCCCAGATTTCAACAGCTCTGCCTTACTCCCTTTCCTGTCAAAAACCATTCTGAGGAAGTCCGACGACTTTCGTCATTGTTGCGAGGGTCTTGGAATCGGACATTTCTAAATGCAACTAATCAGTTGTCATTGGACATTGAGATCTTGTCTGGTGTTCATGCTAATTCTATCCGGCTTGATTTAGATTTTGCTACAGAAGTTTGGGAAAATTTGAAAAAGCTGTTTTCACCTTCTTGGATTGTTATATGGCTTATTGTTATTGCTGTTATGATTGGGTTGTGTATTTTGGGTTACTGCTCATATTGATGCTGGAAGCATTCCCAGTTTAAATATGAGCATTAAGCTATGGCTGTACAGGCTTCTTTGGATGATGATACAACACATGTAGCCATTTACTTGGCTCAGGCTCGGCGTGCTTAGATCCCCCGCCTTGGGATACTCAGTGATGGGTAAGGACGGAAGCTTCTGTCTACCAACCTAAGACAGGTCGTATTGGGACATAAGCCCTGCGACTGATGACGGGTAAGGAGATGGAAGACTTCTGCCGCCTAAGACAGAGGTTCCTTGGCTGATGCATGATGAATGACTAGTATTCTTCATCCTATCAAAGAGAAATGGGGGAATTATGGTGAGCCATCATGGTGAGCCTTGACATAGGCACAGCCATGATTGAACTTTGAGTCACCTCGGCGGCATGGACATGCTGTCGCCCATAGCAATGGGCGAGTTCAGCTGGTAGCAGATGTAACCCGTAATGGTTGTTATTGTTTCCCCCTGGAATGTGTGGGCGGTGCCCTCGCTCCCGTGCAGCTGAAGAGTATAAATGTTTACACTTTTGGTTTCGGTTTTAGCCTATATATACCCCACCCTGAAAAATAAACAGGGCCTTGCCTTGCTACGGTAGAGCATGAGCCTGGAACTAAATTCGTGAAACTGCTCTCCTGTTGTTCCTCCCTCGGGTTTGGGACCTGCTGGCAGGATTCTGAGGTTGCGGCTTGCGACAGGTGGTCAGTTTAGCACTGAGTATGTTTAAGATCCAGTGTCATCCCTTCCGGTGGGTCCCAGGCTCCCAAGGATCAAGCAGTTTCTGTTTCACAGTTTTGGGTTCTCCACAATATTTTCTCAGGTCTCCCCACATTTCCTGAGGGCTGTACAAGCCTCACAGTAATGTTTGTTTCTTGGTCTCAGTCTCCAGCGGTGTCACAGTAGAGAAAACCCAGAGGTTTTTCAAGACTTCGTTCTCACCTGTGCCACTCACTGTGGCTTTAGGACAATCATTTCATCTCTTAAAGCTTTGCTTTCCTCTAGAATTTGACTAGTGATGCCTTCCTCACAGGCTGCTTTGGGACTACAAAAATCATTATGCATCAATTCCACCGATGCTTAAGGCCCTTTTCGCCTAACATACCTGGTATGGGGTCAGACAGACATAAGTTCAAAGCCCTATTTTGCCACTTTCTAAGCTTTCTACTCTTAAAGTTCCTGACCTGTCTGGGCTTCGGTTTCTTCAGCTAATAGATTGGTGATCTCTCCCTCCCTCTCTGAGTCCTAAGATGATTCCAGAGATGGAACCTCGTACTTATGGCTGCTGCTTCACTGATGATATTTTTATTCTTATTCTTCTGTTTGTGCTTTAAAGCCATATTGAAGATCTCAAAAATTACATTTAATGTGCAGTATGGTACATTTTAAGATATTTAACAAAATGTGGCCTTAGCTTTGATCATTGATGAGTCTCCAGTGTCCCTGATTTCACTCCTAAGTGAGGGGAGAGAGTATGCATGAATCTATTTATTTTATTAGGGGTTGTCTTTGGTTTTGAAGGCAGATCCATAGGAGAAGTGTTCAGAAATCCTAAGCAAGAATGAACACTCTCCTTACCAGCTCTAGCCCAGCCAGGCTGGTGGGGTTGCTGAGTATTTCCAGACAAGCAGCTCGTGCTATCCCACTGCTTGTATATCTGTCCTCATTACAAGCTGTGCCATTGTTAGATGTTCAACAGCTGCATTCATGCCTGGTCACAGCCCCAAAGTGTGGGGACCACACTTTTCTCCTGTCATTCCACATGGGTCCAGCACAATGGACCCTCAGCCGCAGCTCAATTGATATCACATTCTCAAAGTCACCCATTTGGTTTGGGGACACTGGTGTGCGGGACCTGTGAACATGCATAATTGAACTCATGAATTCCTTAGTTGATCAGGGGGAGGGTTGCCACTCTTCCTGGCCAGCTCACATCAGCAGCTGCGTGAGCCACTGTGAGCTGGCTCTCCAGGCTCTCTGAAATCTCTGTGAAATGTGTTCCTTGCTAAGGTTCTGACACAAGTTGCACTTTTCCTACGGGAACAGATCAGGAAGCTTAACTGGCACCGAAAGCCCCACATCCTTCCCTATTACTGCACAGGTGCAAAGGCAGCTGTGCCCTAAATGCCTGAGCAGACTAGGTGTCCTAATCCATCTTTGGAGTGAGGGGACCCCCTGAACTGCCATCTATGAGACATTCAGTGTTGATACAGTGTTGGAACACTGTAATTATTTTTATTATCATGTCTTTTAATTTTAAAACCAGCAACAAACTTGGGCTATCAGATACAGAGTGGTCGTTAACACCCAGGTGCAGTCCTAACTGCTTTATAAATGTAGCATTTGATTCCCCTCCCTGAAATTAGATTAGCTACTATCACTTTTACCATTTTGCAAATGGAAAAAAGTAGAGGGAGGAGCCCAAAGAGGTTAGATAGCTCGGTGAAGTCCAGCAGGTATCATGGGGAGAACGCTGATTTACTCTGTAGTGTCTCAGCTAATAGAATTTGACTTAAAGAATTATGAAGGAGTCAATGCCACACAAAGTTATATTTTCACAATACTTAAACCTTACTACAGAATGTGCTTTACATGATTTAAAAAGAAAACATCTTACTTAGAATAATAATTATAACAGTAATTTTGGCCAAAGCATCTATTTAATGTGTGTATGGTATAAATATTGAGTATACATAAGACATAAGCAATATTAGACATGGGTTTGATTCCAGGATCTGTGGGGAGGAATGGATGGGGGATAGTGTTGGGATGAGAATCCTTGGTCAGATATACTGGGAGAATGATGTTCCTGGAGAAAGTGAGAGGAGAGAAAAGAGTAAAGAGCTGTTACAGAATGCTAGGAAACGATGCCATGTGTTACCCATCAAACGGGAAATTTGAAGGCAGAGCCCAAAGGACAGTGACCTTGGTGATAGACTGGATGCTGTGTCAAGAATGTGACTCATTTTCCAGCTTCTTCATTTGAATGCTTTTAACTGAAGAGGGGAGGCTGACCTTCAGGGAGAGGAGGTGGCTGAATTAAATGTCAGGAGACAGGTCAGAACTCCAGCAGTTGTGTCAGTCAGTGCATTCTAGAAATGTTTGTGCTGTTGGCAAACCCAAGGTGGTTTGCAGTAGCACCTTCATGAATCCTTAAGAATGTAACAATTTTGCACTTATTTTCATAGTTAACATTTATTTATGGTAAGTGATATATGGCAAGTTTTCACTTCATATATTTATGTTTTCTTTTTGATACATGTACTTAAAGGGGGATTGATTTAAAGGAAAGTGTGATGTAAATTACACTCCCTGAGGCAAAAATTACAAAGGCTGTAATTGAGTGGTTGAGATGTCTTTGGATGAGCCGTTCTGACAGTTGCCCTTGCGATGGCCTCCTCAGAGCCTCTGTGTCTTGTTTGTCTCTTGCAGACCCTGTGCACGGCCCACAGAATGTGGAGATTGTGGACATTCGAGCTCGGCAGCTGACTTTGCAGTGGGAGCCCTTTGGCTATTCAGTGACCCGCTGTCACAGCTACAATCTCACAGTGCAATACCAGTATGTGTTCAACCAGCAGCAGTACGAGGCTGAAGAGGTCATCCAGACCTCTTCCCACTATACCCTGCGGGGCCTGCGCCCCTTCATGACCATCAGGCTTCGACTATTGCTGTCCAACCCTGAGGGACGGATGGAGAGTGAGGAGCTGGTGGTGCAGACTGAGGAGGATGGTGAGTGAGGGAGGCCAGTTTGCTGGGGAAAGGGGGCTGTTGAACATGCTCATAGGATGATGCTAGGCATTGATAAGGTTTTTATTTTTCTGTATTCTTAATCTCCCCATCTTTTCTCAATATCTTCAATGAAGGACCATGCAGGCTGTACATTGTACTACTCCAGGGATCACAATGCACAATGTACTACTCCAAGCACAATGCAGCTTTGCTGTCCGTGTGTGCTTAAGATCGTCTCTTCTATGCCTGCCTCCCTCTTCTCACTTTCTTCCACCTTCTCTGTCCATAGTTTAACTACACTGGTGCTGCTGAATGTAAGGCATCAGTCCTATTCTTTAAACATATTCAGATTGGAAGTTTGTATTAGTCAATGCTTTTAAGAGCTTGTAGGGCTGAGGCAAAGCTCCTGAAAAGACTGCATGTGGTCTGAATCAGGTTTAATGCAGGACACAGAAACTTACATGATTGGCCTACAAAGACTGCCCACACAGTCAGTTGTAGAAGAGTACAAAAGATTTGTCCATGCTAGAGATCCGAAGGATCCAGCTGAAGGCCTGGAGTCCATAGAAATGACCCATATGCTTCTGTATTAGGAGGCCAAAGGATCCCTGACAGAAGACCGAAGGGTCTGTTCCAAGAGGTCAAAGGGTTGGCACTAGAAGCTAAAGAATTTGTGCTGGCCAAAAGGCCAGTGCTGGCACCCAAAGAATCTAGGTCTAAAGCCAGGAGATCATGCCCAAGGAAAAAGTGAAGACCGGAGCTCCTCTGAGGAAAATCATCCACAGTGAAGCACTTCCAAGGAAAATCAACTGAGATCCTTCCCTCTCATTCTCCTTTCTATACCATTCCCACAACATTCTATGCTATTCCTCCTTAAAGTGGGGCTTCCATGCCCAGAAACATGCTGACAATTCAGCTGAGAGTTCCCACTCAAGTTGACAATCAACCACCACGGAGTTAGACAACTCAGTTCTGTACAAATCAAAAGAAGAAAGTGCTGTATACATATGAATCTTAGCACGAACACTGAATGCAACCAGAAATGATTATTCACCTAGATGTCTTATAGGGATCTCAAATTCAGAGTTTTCAAAGGTAAGCTAATCTCTGACATATTGACCTCTCACCCAGTGAGAAGAGCTACACCTGGAGCTCAAGACAGACTTGCAAGCCAGCCAAGGAGCCTTCATTTCCCACACCCCTACACACAAGCGTCTAAGGAGCCTATTTCCTACAGTTTGTCTCCTGTCATGCCTCTAATATGAGGCTCCCAGGATATGAAGTCTCTTGGACTCTTAGAACACATAACTCCCTGTCTCTCTGTCCATATCTATGCTATTTCTTCTGCTTAGAATGACCTCTATGTTTTTCAGGACAAACCCTATTCATTTTTCGCATCTTTGCTCAGACATTACTTCCTCCAGGAATATTTCCTTGACTGCTATGAACTTCTTGGGTATTCCTTCCCAGGATCCTACTGCAGTTTGCATGTAATTCCACCACAGAATCTTATCAACGGGACAGTGTTTGCCAGTTCTAGAACTTGTCTAGGAACTACCTCTCCATGGCTATCCTTCAGGTTTCCCTCCATCCATGCTGCCTCTGATGTTGTGGGGTCTTACTTAATTCTCCAGAATTTGACTGTGAAATCCCTTAGTGTACAAGGGATTGATTCAGGAACTTTCCCAGGAAGATTGGGAAGGGGTTGGAGGAAACAGAACAGAAAAGGAGAGAAGTCAAGGCTCATATTCTGGCCAACTCCAGCAAAGATCGAATGCAACCTGAGCCTACAGGGGAGTTCTGCTTGGTGGACTGTGCATCACAGATGTATCACATCTGGGAAGCAAGCTAGAGCTTCCCCTTGATCTGGCTCCATTGTTTTGGAAATATTCATCCCCCTCCTAGAACAGAGAATCACACAGTCGCTGATAAGGGAAACTCTGGAGACAATTACATCTGGATCATGCTGCTTAACCTCTTATTACCTTGGTTTCCTCAGCTCTAAAGGTACTTAGTGATAGTGCCTACCAAATAAATTACTATGTACATTAAAAGGGGGTAGTATAAAACATAGATAATGGGAAGTAGGAAGATAGATCTTTCTTAATGGGGAAGGAGATTAAGACAAAGAAGGAGAGGCGTAAGGGAAGGGAAAGGGAATGAATAAAGGAATTTAGAAGTGTTATGTGCATGTACCAACTTCACACAAGGAGTGTAAACGTTATGTACTGCTGCAAACGTACAAGAAAAGGAAGGGAATCGAGAGAGATAGGACCAGGAGGCAAAGGGGTAAAAACAAAGGATTTAAGATATATTTTGTACATATACCAATTCCCCACAAGGAATATAAACATTATGTACTAGAAACATGTAGTAATAAAAGAAAAAATTAGACTAATACCCAGAAGGTGATAAATTTTCGGTAAACATAGCTACTACATTTGCACTGTCACAAGATATTGTAAAGTTTTTAACAAAGGAACCTGTAACACAAGCAACTCAGAAACCATGCAGTAGCTGCTCTAGGACACCTTTTGGGGTTATAAAGTGTGACACAGATTCTTAAAGAGTAGCAGTGTCCTTGGGGCCAAGAGGGTGGCTTGGTGACAGTTGAGTAAATCACAGGGGATCTCTGGATGTTAAACAAGGAGAAGCCACTGTGGGAAACCACCTTAATGTTTGGCTGAGGAGCAGCTTAGACATATTCTTTTCAAGGGCTCCACCCACCTTGGCAAGCTCTTCAATGGCTTATATCTCTCCAAAGCTTCATGCAGTCATAGGTGGGGCTTTAGGAAGGTGGCTGGATCTACAGTGGGTGGTGCTAAGATTGATTCATGATGCAATGCTGTGATTAAGGGTTTCCCACCCTCCGTGTAAGTGCTACGTGCCCTAAGGGTTCATAGCCTGGATAGAATATAAGGAACAGAAAGAGGGCTGCTGTTGTCACTTGATGCTTCATTACTTTGCTGCTGGATGCCTTCTACTTACCATGAACTGTTTCTCCTCTGTGATGTCCCTCTGCTGTGCCACCCAGCATTAGAACCAGCCAACTATGAATTAAAACCTCTACAAACTATGAACTACAATAAGCCTTTCCTCCTTTAACTTTGTGTGTTGCGTATTTTGTTTCAGCAGTAGGAAAAATATCTTAGACTTCCCTGTGTACCGGCAAATCCCAAGTCCCAAAGTTATGACATGCCTTAACATCTCCCTTTCTTATTCTTGTCACTAAGAGAAAATCAATCAATAAATAAACAAACTCCAAAACTTTCATCAAAACAATGTGAGAGTGGCAATGCTTTGATATTAAATTTCCATAAACATCATTAATAAAACATTGGTTCCTACTCTAGGAGATGTATGGATATTTACATATTAAAGACATCAGCATAAAAGATGCGAGGCATTGGTAGCTCTTCTGAGTGCCTAGCTCAAGAACTGCTGGAAGGTCTCAGCATAGTGGGAATGCCCTCCTTATGCCAGGATTAGGCCCCATTCTTCCTAGAGAGGGAGGAGATACATTTCCATTTGCTGGGGAACTCATTCACCTGAAGGACCAGCTCCGGATGGAGAATGGCTCTAGTCAATTAACTGAACATCCCCTCATGCAGGCAGAGAGCAACCTCTGGAATTGAACCGACTGGCTCCATGCTGCTTTTATCCGTGCTCCAAAATTGTCTTCTGGGGAATTTGTAGAATGTGTCATTTCAGCACCCCAGTGCTTTTGGGAGCCTGCAAAGTAATCTGCTGCTAGAGAAAGAAGCTCATCCTCCCCTACCCTGAGCCCTATGGCTTCATGTGGGAAGTAGCTGCTGATAAAAAACTAAAGAAATTCTTATTTTTCTCTTTCCAGAAATGTCTCAAACAAACAAACAAACAACAAAACAAAACCACAGCTCCTTCATTTCATGGTTACTCCTCAGCTTTTAACCAGACTATATCCAAGGTTGTGAGATGAACTTGAAAGATGAAAACCATATTGTAAAGTGGTCTCATTTTTGCTACCATTTATTGAACATTGTATATAACAAGCTAGGCACCAATAGGCATCATATATATATATATATATTAACTCTTGTACTTCTTTTGCCCAAGATTTTATTGTAAAATGGTTCAAAGCTATAGAAAAATTGGAATCAGTTCAGAGAAGACCTATAGACCTTTTACCCAGATTCAACATTTAACATTTTGCTGCATTTACTTTTTGCATGTGATAAATATATATAATATAGAAATACCATATATACACATTTTTAAACCATTTGAAAGGAAATTGCACAAATCATGACACTTAAACCCCTATGCTTTAGTATATGTGACTTTAAACATCAGGACATTCTCCTACATACCCACAATACCATGTAACATCTAAGAAATTTAGCATTAATTCCAAAATGATTTAATATATTCATATATTCACTTTTTCATAATATTAAACCTGATTCTACATGACAAAATCAGAATGTAAGACATTGTTTGGCAAAATACCACATGGGTGATGGTTTCTATTTCTCATTGTGCTGTACTTAGAGGTACATAAGGTAATAGAGCCTCTCTATTGACAATATTAGTCCCTTAATTAGCTGGTGACCATCCAGTTCCTCCAGTAGAAATGCAGTATCTTTTTTCTCTATGTGACGTTTCTGCACTGTGGTACTTTGAGATGGTGTAAATATTCCATTCCACTGAAATTTACAATCGGTGGCTTTACCACTACTTGATACCTTATCCAAATCAACTATTACATTTGTGCTCACCAAAGATGACTTTAAAATCTATGATTCCCTCTACACTTCTTACTTAGCATTCTTATTTATAGAAAAGGTACTTTCTCCTCATTTTCCTCCCTGTGTATAGGATACTTATTTATTCATAGATTCATAACCCACTGTACTAAAATCCACCCCTATCCTTCTTTCTGATGCTTACATTGTCTTGATTATGGCTAGTGCAAGTCCCTTCAAGCGGACTCTTAGGTGCTTTTGATATTTCATCAGCAG